TGTCACATTAGGACTGCACCTAGGACATTCAAAGGGACAGTTCTACTATGCCCTGCAGAGCCACTATGAGTCATAATATACTGAATGGCACACAACAACAGTACCTGATCCTTTTGTCTCCAGTCAAACCACTAGAGTTGAGTAAAATTTAGCATTGTGTACAGAAATGCTTCCAAACAGTTTTAGCTACGTAAAAATGGAAATGAGTTGTATTAGTAGAAGTAAACATCTCATTAAGATTGTGCTATTTATAGTGGTAATGCTGGAAATATTTCTGTATTTTTAGCTTGATTTATTGTTCTATAATTTCAAACTTCTATTATCATGTCTTAGGTTGTTGTTTAGTGCTGTCGAGCCTAGTGGCCTTATGCAGGGGTTCTGAAGAGTAGCTGATCAATTTGAACTGCCAACCTTGAATTTCAAACTGACCTTGTAGTCCTGTGCTTATCTTACAGCACCATACCAGGACTTCATGTCTTAAGATAAGTAAGCTATATTATATAAGCCATTGGTTTTGTTAGGTAATTCCAAATTGGTTCCAACTCATAAAGACCCTAAGTACAAAAGAACAGACTATGGCCCAGTCCTGGGCCATCCTCACAATTGTTTCTATGTTTGAGCCATTCTTTGCAGCTTCTGTGTCAATCCATCTCACTGAAGAGCCTCCATTTATTCACTGATTCTCTACTTTACCAAACACTATTTTGCCTAACCAATCAACAAATGGAAAACTTTTATATAATATGTTATCAAGAATAATCTAAAAGAGAACTGAGGCAGTGGGGGGAGATGGCAGCGAACACTCCACAGCGGGCGTGGACCGTGGAACAACTGCGCAGCTAGGCTGCCCAAGAAGGACATTACCAAGTTTCTGCAGGAATACGGTTCAGACTCGTTTCTTGCAGAACATAAGCTACTAGGAAATATTAAAAATGTGGCCAAAACAGCTAACAAGGACCATTTGGTTACAGCCTATAACTATCTTTTTGAAACTAAGCGTTTCAAAAGTACTGAAAGTATAAGTAAGGTGTCAGAGCAGATGAAAAATGTGAAGATTAATGATGACAAACTTAAAGAAACCAAGTCTGAAGAGGTTCTTGAAGAGGGTCCACCAAAATATACAAAATATATTATTAAAAAGGGAAACAAAACCAACTTTCCCAAAAAGGGAGATGTTCACTGTTAGTACACAGGAACACTTCGGGATGGAACTGTTTTTGATACTAATATTCAAACAAGTTCCAAGAAGAAGAAAAATGTCAAACCTTTAAGTGTCAAGGTTGGAGTTGGCAAAATCATCAGATGATGGAATGAAGCACTCTTGACTATGAGTAGGGGAGAAAAAGCTCCACTAGCGATTGAACCAGACTGGGTTTATGGAAAGAAAGGAGAGCCTGATGGCAAAATTCCACCAAATGCAAAACTCATTGTTGAAGTAGAATTAGTGGATATTGATTGAAATGGCAACAGTTCAAGGTCTAAAGACAAGGTCGGTTTGCACTTGAAGAAATTTATGTAACTAATTAGAGCTGGTTACTTTTGTGTTTGAGGGAGGAGTTAACTAGTAAATTCAAGGAGTTTCATTAAATCCTGTTGACTTGATGCTCAACTTTTGAAGAATGCAATCTCATTATAAATCCTTAAAGTGTAAAATATTTTACAACAACTGTAAAATATGGTTAAACAGAATTGATTTTTGTTTTTATCTCATGTTATAATCTAAAAGGCTCAATACAAACATCCACAGACTTGGGGAAAAAAAGAATGATCTAAGAGCTACTTTAATGACATTAAGTAGAACTAATGAATTTTGGGCAGGTATTTTATATTTGTAAAATTGTCTTTCGATATGATTTGATAGAGGCTACTGGTCAACATACAAAGAATATGAAACTGTTACTTAAAGACAATCAGAGAACCACAGATGGAAGTGGAGTAGCTGCATACAGAGAGCCATAATTGATTGATACTCTTCTTTCCACAAGGATTCAATGGAAGGGATATAGTTCTACTTTTATGCTAACTTCTATTCAGCTCTTCTTTTGAATGACTCCTTCATTTTTTTCTACATTAACATAAAGATTTTAAAATTGAAAAGAGGGTTCTAAAAGAAGTTTCTGAATTTGTTGTTTCATCATATACTTTCTTAGTAAGCTAGCAGCAAGTTGGAGAATCATTTTGACGTTTAAGGCAAAATTGCACAGCTAGTTTAATATAACTCTTCTGACACCAAATCCTCTCTGGTCCAGTCCAGCTTCCTATGAAAGTCCTTTCAATTGGACAATATGGAAAGTCCATGCAAAATTTATCCATATCACCAGCACGAAACAACCCTGATGTACCACTACAGTAACAAACCATTAGTTTGTAACAATATGCTGTTTTAATTGCACAAAAAATGTTGACAGTTTGAACCCACTAGTTTCTCCATAGAGAAAACATATGGTAGTATGCTTCCGTAAAGATTTACAGTCCTGGAAACCTTATGGGGCAGGTCTACTCTCGCATAATGACTTGCTATGAGTCAAAAAGGACTAAAAGACAATGGGTTTGCTTTTTTTTTGGTCTAATGCTATGTTAGCATGTAACTTGTCTATTCAAGGAGATTGATTATAATTTTAATTTCACATAGCTAATTATTTCTAGCATTCATATTTATTTTATCCAAAGCTTCTGTACATTTGACATGGAGTGGTGAGGGTATTTCCTTGGCTAAGGATTATATAGAGTCCTGGTGGCACTGGGGCTTAGGCATTGGGTTACTAACTATAAAGTTGGAGGTTCAAATCCATCAGTTGCTCCAAGGGAGAAAGATGAAGCTATCTGCTCTCATAAAAATTTACTGTCTTGGAAACCTAATGAACAGTTCTACCCTGTTCTAAATAGGGTTGCTATGAATTAAAATTAAATCAATGGCAGTTTGTTTGGTTTGGTTTTAGGGGTTATATAGCTTGACATCAAGAGACCTTAGTTACTCTTGGATAAGACCAAAAGTCTTTAAAATACAGATGGAGTTGTTTTAAAAATTGTCCTTAATTAATCTATTTCATTAACAAATTGAAATCTTTCAACAAATTAGTGAAACACTGGAATCACTCACTCGTCTATGAAAAGAAACCTGACTAACAGAATGGAAGAGATCTACATTTGTGCCCATTCTAAAGAGCAGTGACCCAAGGTAATGCAGAAATCATAGTACAATATGATTAATATCACAATCAAGTAAAATTTTGTTAAAGATAATTTTTAAAATGTCTGTAACAGTACACTGACAAGTAACTGCCAGAGGTTCAAGTTGGACTCAGATGAGAATGTGGAATGATGGATATCACTGCTGATTTTAGGTAGAAAATATCAAAAAGATGGTTGCCTGTGCTTTATTGACTCTGTAAAGGCTTTTTTGACTGTGTGGATCATGACAATCTATGAGGAACATTCTGGAGAATGAGTATTCCAGAATACTTACTTGTGTGTATGAGGAACCTGTACATAGACTAAGAGGCTGTCGTACAAACAGAACAAGGGAACACTTGTTTAGTGTTTAGAATGGTTTAGAATTAGGAAATGTTTACACCAGTGTTAAATTATTTCAACATACTTAGTTAATCTATATGCTGAACAAATAACCTTGAAAACTTGATTATATGAAGAAGAACGTGCATCAGGACTGGCGGAAGATTCATTAACAACTTGCAATATGCAGATGATACAACCTTAGTTGCTGAAAGTGAAGAGGACTAAAAACACTTACTGATGAAGATCAAAGACCACAGCTTTCAGTATAGGTTGCACTTCAATGTAAAGAAAACAAAAGTCCTCACCACTGGACCCATAAATAACATCATGATACATGAAGAAAATATTGAAGTTTTCAAAGACTTCATTTTTCTTGAATCCTCATCAACACTCATGGAAGCAGGAATCAAGAAATCAAATTGCATATTGCATAAAGCAAATATGCTGTGCAAGACCACCTTAAAATGTTCAAGAGCAAATATGTCAGTTTGAGGACTAAAGCACACCTGACTCAAGCCATGGTATTTTCAATAATCTCATATGCATGTGATTGTATAATGAATAAGGAAGATCATAGAAAAATTGATGCATTTGAGTTAATGGTACTAGAGAAGAATACTATAGGTACCATGAACTGCCAACAGAATAAACACATTTGTGTTGGAAAAAGTATAACCAGAATGCTCCTTAGAAGCTAAGATGACCAGACTTTGTCTCTCATACATTGGACATATCAGGAGGGACCAGTCCCTAGAGGAAGACATCATGTTTGGTAAAGGAGTGAGTCTATGAAAACCAATGCGATGGATTGGCATAATGACAGCAGCAATAGGCTCAAGTGCCGCAGCAATTGTAAGTATGGTGCATGACTGGGTGGTGTTTCATTATTCATTATTCATATTGTTTCATTATTCATAGGGTTGCTATAAATCAAACTGGCTCAACAGTAACTAACAACAAAACCAGCAAATACTTTTGCTGGAGATTATTAATGGATGTTTTTTTCCAGAAACTTTCAACATCATGTGACATATGTGATGAAAACACAATAAAGTACACATATTTCTCCTTTCTGCTTCATTTCAAGAGTTCGGGCAGCATGCCAAAAGTATACTTACATTAACTGTATTCCTAGTACTCAGAAAATAAGACTGAAAAATATTTTTAAAACACTTAAAAAACACTTTCCATAAAATGTACATTACAAAAGAATAAAAATGTGAAGACTCAATGAATCATTTATTTTATGATGACATTTTGCTTTATTCATATAAAAAAAAAAAGAAGCTCAATATATTGAGTAAGCATAACTAACACAAGCAGATTTTAGCTCCCTGCTTGAAGTTGCTGATGTTTCTTGGAAGAAGTTCAGATTCTGAGGTTAATACAATGCTCCCTCCCACAGCTCTGACATGTATATAAACTTAGATCTCCAAAGTCCACTGCCAGATCTCTTCGTGGACTGATTGCAACAGAGACTGAAAATGATTCCTTTTTTATCCATATTTCCCCTACTTTTGCTATTCATTTTTAACCCTGCAGATGCTAATGGTCATTATGACAAGATTTTGGCTCACAGCCGTATCAGGGGCCGGGAACAAGGGTAAGTCCATTGTTTATTTTTTTTATAAACCTTTTGTCCCTACTTAGCTCGTTATATATATAATTTTGAATAAAACTTATGTATATCACAGAGCTTCTTTTATAAAACTTACTACAAATTATTAAGAAAATATTTTTGTGTGATTTTGCTTATTACAATGTAATATAAAAGATATGAACACTGTGACATATATGTATTTTATACTTTAAAAATCACTATCAACATATTTAAGTTACTTTGCTTTTGATAAAATATTACATAATTTTAATTTAACAAAATATAACAAATAATTTACTAAAGGTGTCATTTATTTGTGTTTTTATTTTCTTCCAGAAATCTGGAATGAGATTTCAAAAGTAAAGTATCTATGGGTAGAGGCTATGATGATGTGAACAGTTTGCAAATATCTCAGATCTTGTTCAAGCAAACTTGTATATGAATGCATATGAAAATCTAGTAATGGGTAATGTAATTAGTTCTCTTAGTTTTTAAAGCTTTTAATCTGTTTTTAAACTCTGCATCTCAAAAATTTCAAAAATAATTAACAGAATAAGTTCAACTGCAGATTAACATTATAAAGAGTTATCAGGTATATATAAACAAGTTTTAGTAATCTTTTGAAGTGATCTCGGGTCTTCTATGCTTTAGAGGGAGTAATGTTAATAAAGTCCCTTGCCTTACAGTGAAAATAAGGCTCCCATCTCTTTAGAAGAAGAAAGCACTTTAAACCCTGGCATAAAATATTTTAATCTATTCATTGCATTCATATATATTTCATGTGCAGACATACTGCTTGTAAAATCATTTTAGCAATCATTAAGACATCCTGTCTTCTGTAAATATTTATCTAGAAAATTGCAGAATATATATCTTTGAACATGCTAAACTTGTTTCTTTTGCCTTCTAATTTATTGTCCCAGAGAACCCGAAAGTCATTCCTAGTCCCCAAATGATTACATGTTTGGTTTAAAAAGCAAAGTCAGTGGAATAGCCCCTATTAGATATAAAAAGAGCTTTGTTGTTATTAAGTCCCAGTGTGTTGACACCAACTCAGTGACCTTAATTATGCACACCAGAACGAACACTGCCCAGTCCTGTGGCAACCTCACAATCATTGCTATGCTTGAGCCCATTGTAGTTGCCACTGTGCCAATCCAGGATTATGTTCAATTTAATGCTTCTGTTGTTGTTGCTGTGAAGTACCGGCGAGTCGGTTCTAATGGATAGTGACCCTGTATAGGGTTTCCAAGGAGCAGCTGGTGAGCTTGAACCACCGACCTTACAGTTCAAACAGCTTTGCAGTCTGGCTTATTAACCCACAGCACCACACCAGGACTCCTAAATGCTTCTAGAATGTTCCTATTAAGCTAACTCTTTGTCACACTGAAGTTTTACTTTCAGGGATGTAAATTTTTTTCTCTTTCCCTCTCTCTTCCACAGATTAGTTTTTTCAATGATTCAGCATGATGGGATTAAGAAATAGATTTTCCAAAGCTAGAAATCACATCTTTGAAAATCAAATCCACATGTTACTATATATTTCTTTTAACCGCTTGACTGTAGATATGAAAAAACCAGTTAGCTTTAAGATATTAACTCTTTTCCTTCTCTCTATCCTTCAGCCCAAATGTCTGTGCCCTTCAACAGATTTTAGGCACCAAAAAGAAGTATTTCAGCACTTGTAGGAACTGGTATCAAGGTGCCATCTGTGGAAAGAAAACGTAAGTCTCATGATTTTCATTATGTGTCAGTCTCAAGATTACATTTCAATATATACATCCTTTCTTGGGTATACACTCCATTCTTTTTGAAGATGCTCTTAAATATTGTGAAGTTGTTGGTTTTTTTTAATTGTTGTTTTTTAAAGAAAGAATTACATTTTTGAATAAAGAAATGCTGTCAGAATCTCCACTATTACTAATGGAACTCGAATTTCCCATTGAATCCATGTCTATAGTTCCATGTATAAAATACAGGAAACTCCAAAAATAGGGAATGTCCTTTTCAATTCTTTTGGTTTTGCTCCCTTCAATTTTAGGCATCAATTAACCTCTGGGTCTCAGTTTCCTCACTTCTTTATTGAAAATTGTAAATCAGAAACAGTGGCTCAGAAGAACAGATTGATAAGAAATGCCAGTTTTTGAGGCAAATAGTAATGCTTGTCTCCAGTCATTTGGAAATCATTCAAGCAATTTCAGGTTACTGCAGTTTTCATCAAAGCTTAAAGCTGGAAAGGACCTGAGTTTATCTTTTTATTTACTCCCAGGCTCCTTTTCTTACACTGACAGTTACTCAGATACCCACAACAGTTATAATAGAAGTCTTTGTTGTTGTTGTTGTTAAGTGCCGTCGAGTCGGTTCCGACCCATAGCGACCCTGTACAGGGTTTCCGAGGGTGTAAATCCTTCCGGGAGTAGA